CAGAGCAGCACATTAACCCACACAGGCCTTCCTTCAGCAAACAGGCTAATGCAGCGAGAGGGCAAAGGTGAAGATGACCTCCAAAGAGACATGCAAAGGTGAGGCGACAGCTAACTATCACCTGTACATCACACCTGCTCTCATCTGTCTGTAAGAGCAAACCAATGATTTATTTCTGATCAATCAATCACAAACCCAGCTCACCTTTTACAGGTGTGTTTCTACCTGTATTGAATGGTTTCTGAGGTTGTTGATGCCCTGAGTTTGGTCATCAGGATCCGGACGATGTTGAACAGGAAGACGAAGTTAATCTGAGGAGAAGAAGACTTCCAGGTTTATACACAGCTGGAGCCAAGTTACCTGTGCAGGTGTTTCTGACACACATGTGACCTGATCAGGTTAGAGCTTCAGAGACCACATCACATGACAGCTTGTCAGCTGACGTGTCTTCTCACGTTAAACCGGACCATCTCACTCCTCTTCCTCTCTCGATAAATCATCCTCAGCTGTCTGTAACAAATCTGATATTTCTGAACGCCACCGATTTTTATAGACTTTATGGTTTTTACTGGTTTCTACTGTCTGATGGGGGCTTCAGCACCACTTGCTGGTCAAAGGAATCTCCAAAACATCAGCATCAGTCTCTGACAGAATTTAAGATGGACTGGCTGTGTTTAAGGAGGACTGTAGTGTTTTTAAGGTGGACTGGCTGTGCTCCTACCAGCAGGACCAGGATCATGGGGCCTTGGTAAATGTAGTCTGTATAAACTCCCGCCCTCTTTCCAAACCAGCACCTGTCAATCAAAACACAGTCACATGACTCCTCACGTTCAATATTGCAACACATTATATTTAGCAAGTCTTGTCTGGTCACATGACCTACTTCTCATTGTCGTAGTACAGCTTCCCGAAAGCCCACGCCACGATGATGGGGAATGGAATACCTGCGGACAGACAGAGAGGGAGACGGGTGAGCAGAGAGAGGGACAGGAGGACAGGTAGACAGACAGAAAGGGGGACAGATGGACTGACCCCACCCGATGCAGATGAACATCCACTTCCTGAGTTTATCGGTTGAGTAGGTGAGAACGACGGCAGTGTGGAGGTAACAGCCTTCACCAAACATCCAGAAGAAGTTGGTCACATGGAAGTAGTTATAACCTGCCGTCACCAGCCTGCACCACACCTGCAGAGGCCGGAGTCAGCGTCACGGTCAGCATCAGTGTGTTTGTCAGTATGTGACTGTGTGTGTGAGCACCTGGTTTCTCTCGGTAACAGCGGGATTCATTGTTAGCTGGACGATGAACCAGGTGGCGTTCCTCAGGATGAAGGCGGAGATCAGGTTCCAGTGGATGATGTTCCTCAAACAGCGAATGCTCCTGAAACGCACAGACTTGAACTGATCGGCTCCTCCTTAAACACCTCCACACTAATCAGTCAGGTGAGCTTTTCAGGATTGAGCTTTCCGCAGCTTGTTCCTGCTGCGCTCGGTCGTTCTGGATTTCATCATGTTCGCCTTTTTGTTTGTGAGCAGCTAATCTCACAACATCAGACTTTTTCAGAGCAGCATCAGGAAACACCTTTCAGATCATTACTGCCACCTTCTGGTGGTTTTACTACATTACATTTTAACAGGCTTCAATTTGATTTATTTAAACATTATGACG